ACGTAAGTATTCAGACCCTTTCTCAGTACTTTGCTGAAGCACCTTTGGCAGCGATGACAGCCTCGAGTCTTCTTGGGTATGACGCTACAAGCTTGGCACACCTATATTTGGGGAGTATCTCCCATTATTTTCTGCAGATCCTCTCAAGCTCTGTCAAGTTGGATGGGGAGCGTCGCTACACAGCTATTTTCAGGTCTCTCCAGAGATGTTAGATCGGGCTCAAGTCCGGGCTCTGGCTGGGCTTCTCAAGGACATTCAGAGACTTGTCCCGAAGCCACTCCTGCATTGTCTTGGCTGTGTGCTTAGGGTCATTGTCCTGTTGGAAGGTGGACCTTCGCCCCAGGCTGAGGTGCTGAGCGTTCTGGAGCAGGATTTCATCAGGCCAAAGAGTTCAATCTTGGTTTTATCATACCAAAGAATCTTGTTTCTCATGGTCTGAAACTCCAAGCGGGCTGACATGTGCCTTTTACTGAGGAGTGGCTTCCGTCTGGCCACTCTACCATAAAGGCCTGATTGGTGGAGTGCTGCTGAGATGGTTGTCCTTCTGGAAGGTTCTCCCATCTCCACAGAGGAACATTGGAGCTCTGACAGAGTGACCATCGGGTTCTTGGTCACCTCCCTGACAAAGGCCCTTCTCCCCCGATTGCTCAGTTTGGCCAGGCGGCCAGCTCTTGTAAGAGTCTCGGTGGTTCCAAACTTCTTCCATTTAAGAATGATGGAGGCCACTGTGTTCTTGGGGACCTTCAATGCTGAAGAAATTTTTTGGTACCCTTCCCCAGATCTGTGCCTCGACACAATCCTGTCTCGGAGCTCTACAGACAATTCCTTCGACCTCATGGCTTGGTTATTGCTCTGACATGCAATGTCAACTGTGGGACATTATCTAGACAGGTGTGTGCCTTTCCAAATCATGTCCAATCAATTGAATTTACTACAGGTGGACTCCAATCAAGTTGTAGAAACATCTCAAGGATGATGAATGGAAACAGGATGCACCAGAGTTCATAACAAAGGGTCTGAATACTTATGTAAATAAGGTATGTTTTTTATTTTTAATACATTCGCAAAAATGTCTAAAAACCTGTTTTCGCTCTGACATTATGGGGTATTGTGTGTAGATTGATGAGGGAAAAAAATGATTTAATCAATTTTAGAATAAGACTGTAATGTAATAAAATGTGGAAAAAGTGAAGGGGTCTGAATACTTTCCAAATGCACTGTAAATGTACCAAAACATTATTTATAAAAACATGATCTATTAATGTTTTTTTAACACTAATTTGTTTACAAGCATGATAGCTGTACTTTTAGTTTATGGTTTATGCAGGTTGTTGGCCATTAGCATTTGTCAACAAGTTCAAAGCATGTGAATGCATCCAACTGGTATTTACAACTTCACAACTGGTAATTACCACCTTCCCTCTTGGTTATGAACACAGCATAATAATATAAATGGTAACTGTAACAATAATTATTCAGTGACATCAAAATACTGTGCTCTGCCATAGGCTACTAATAATTTGACTAAGGCAAAGCTTTGCAGGTGATTCAACTGGAATTTTAGATACAATATTTCAAAGTATGCCAAAAGCATATTTTTTTTAATTACAACAATTGAATGAATAGTGGTCTATCCTAATGTTTAAACCAAGCGCAAGTAAATACAGAATGCTGAATTCACTCAATTCTCACAGGATGCATCACATTAGTAAACATCTAAAGTCTTTTTTATTTCAGAGGTAATCCAGTCTGCCATTGAAGGACTCACTTTGCAGTGTGGAAGCAATAATTCCTGTTTGTCCAAAAGGAAACTCAGGATATGTGACCAAATAGAATTAAGGTAACCAAATGGCTACAGGGTTGCTAAACCAACATACAGCATTATTTCTTATCTCAATGTAACCTGCTCAGGCATGTAAATTAAATAAGTCACCGTTACATAAGGCAGTCATCCTGTGACTTCTACAACAGGCTTTACTTTGCCCTCTATGTAGTAGTTGCAGAGTTGGAAATAGCTGAAGTGCTGAAGACAATGTCGTTTTGAGCCAATCCATTAGATCCGTCACAGTAAAAATAGAGAATTTTTCCAACCAAGGGATCTGGATTGATCAAGGTGTACTACACATATAGAGCATGGGCTACCTGGTGCAGGACAGGACTACCCATGCAAGAGGTTGGTACCTGTAGTTAAGAGAAAGGGGAATGAAAACAAGGCACATCTGCATCAGATAAAAAGCCTGATACTAGTTCTCATACTACAGCTACCTTTTATGAAAATGTTATGGATAGGAAGAACCATACCTGAGGAACAGGTCATATGTTTCTCATAAGGATCACGCTTTGTCACATAATGCGGTCAGGAATTAGCACATTTAATTACAGTAAATAAAAAAAAGTAATGCAGAACTAATCTAAATCACACTATCTGGATATGTTAACTTCTTTTAATGCTTCATTTGTACATTTGTAACGGTAATGGTGTGTAACAACCTATACAGTTAACCCCAAATAGGCCAATTTACAAGATTTGTTTTCTTAATACATACATGAAATAATCCAATCTACACTTTAAGTACATGAAGTTTACAGTACACTCATTTCTAAACTGAGACGCAGTCTCAAATTAAGCCACTAGATAAGTGTTTCCTGCCCAGTGCATTTATAATGCACGCTTGAGTCCACTCTGTTGTGAACTGTGTTACCCAGAATGCCTCAAAGGTTTCATGCCACAAGTAGTTGAGGTCATTAACTAATTTCCAGCCGCAATATGGGCTCACAAGCTAACCTCACAGAACCATAGTAAGAAGAAAAACCCCTTTTACACCACTTCGATACAGCTACGACCAGAAGTGACTTTTTCATAGCAGGTTAGGATAATTAAAGTTAGCGAAAATGCTCTCCTAACCGGCTACGAAGAACACTTCAGGTTGTAGCTGTATCAAAGTGGCGTGAAAAGAGTGTCCCCCAACCTCACAAGGTAAAAGAGAACCGTGAGTGCCACGAGATCTTAAAATGGGAAGGGTGCTGTTGTGCAAGATACATTTGTTTTTTATGGCAATTATGGAGAAACCTAAGACTTCAAAACCTTGTCACTTTTAGTTGAACTCCTTTCACAGTATCTTTATTAGGGCTAACATCGGTAAACCTAGTTTTTTGGCAAATCTGAATACATAGGACTAAACTTTTTTGGTGTACAAAGAAAGCATAACAATACGTTTAATAGACAGAAGCTGGCCTAGATGACAACTGCAATGACACACTGGAGTGGAGACATTTTGTAGCAAATGTACCTTTGACCGCTAAGACAGAATCACCAGTCTTGTCAATCGATTCAGAGGTGGCAATTTCTACCTCTTACATAAAGCTTTGATTAATCTTCCCCAAAGACAGCAGATACTTGACTGCATACAAAACCCCTTTTACACAGACTAGTATAAAAATGGGGTTCGCATTTCAGCTAGCATAATTTCAGCCATTTGAGATTTGATCGATGAAAGTCACTTCCAAAACATATAGACAACGGTGGAGCAAAATTACTGTAGCCCTGAAGGAAAAATGAATGGGGTCAGAACTTATTGGAAATGATTGATCTCTAAAAAACGATAAGTCGTGTGGGCTCCTATAGCAGTCCATCCATTGCCTAATGTAAAGAGTCCCTTTCCTCTATTTCCCAGGCACCATGGCTTTAGAGACGCTCCCTCGGCTACATGATCAATCTACACATTAGCTTGCCTGTCTTCAACAGGGAGTGCCAAAGACAGCATGTTCATGTGGAACACAGTAATGGATTTCAAATCAACGGAGTGTCCTTTCACTAATGCTAACTGAACACGATTACAACAGGAACCCCTCAAAAACCTCTCCTTTGCATTATGTGAAATCTCACAAGACCTGACTAAAATAAACAATTAGTTCTGTGCAAGATAGTATTTTTTGGAGAGGGGAGGGTTAACTTAAGCAATAAAAAGAGAGAATAACTTCATTTTATTGCACCAAATGTTCGATGGGAAGGGCAAGTAAGATAACATCCCCCCAATGCAGGAATCAAAGGGATAGTGTACGATTTTGGCAATTAACCATTTCTATGTCTCTGCGTGAAGTTTGAAGTTAAAGATAGTTTTGCGAGCCATTGCAAAGTAGCGTTAGCGTAATGACTGGAAGTCTACCAGAACAGCTAGCATGCAAACTACCTTAAACTGCACACAGAGACATACAAAATGGTAATTGCCAAAATCTCACACCATCTACTAATTTAGCCGGTCTCAGAAAATAAAGAAATAAGACTGTATTCCTATCAGGGGATAATAAAGGGCCTACATTGAGCAAGGATATTTTCAAGCAATCCAACCTGGAAACAGACAGAACTAAACAATTAGAATCTTCTCTTAAACTAAAAAAGGTTATTTGAGTCAATAAGGGCAAAATTGGTTCAGAGGCAGAATTTAAACATCCCTTTTCCTGAGTGATCTCATCTAGCCAATATTTCCAATGCATTTTTCCCCACCCAAAGTCCACCTCTTCAGTGGTTATGCAACACACATTAGAAAGCTCTCATTACTTCTCGTCTTCACCGCAAGGACTCTCTCCTGACTAGGAGCCGAAACCCTAATGTGGATTGACTTTTGTTGATAGACAAGCAAGAGTGAACACAAATAGAGTGTTTTAGACTTTAACATAACCCTCGCCTCTTCAACTAATGTGCAAATTCTTAGTGGCTTTAGAGTCAGTGGTTAAACTGTGGAGACTACCAGCACTCTTGCCCAAATATGCTGGTCTAATCAGCATAAACATGTCCATGGTGTAGTTTGTCTGAATTTGAGAGGGCAATGACAAGGGGGATACAACGCCAGGGAAACAGTGACTCCTGACTCCTTACCATGACCCCCCCCCCCCCCCCCTCTCTTAAATACATTCCAAACAATAAGAATTGAAATCATGTCACAGGACATGGGAGGTCCAATAAGACTGAACCCCCAAAAACTAAAAAAACATTGAGTGTCCTATTTCTTGCTGCGCAGGCGTTTGGACTGACGCAGGTCTGAGCTCTTCCTGGTGCGTTTCAGGGGCGGGCTGCCCTGTGTCTCCACCGCTGTGGCCATGGTGCTGGGTGACGTGGCGACAGCAGCTGAGCCTGTTGAGGAAGAAGCCGAGGAGGTGGAGGCTACGGCTGGCCTGGCCCCTCCCCCCACCGCACTGTCCATCAGTTCCCTGAGCTTGTGCTCCAGCTCAGCCAGCCGGGCGTTCTGCTCCCCGATAACCTGCGTCTGCTCCAGCAGCTTCTGCTCCTGGTCCTGCAGCTGCTTCTGCTGCTCCAGCTGCTTGACGCGCACCTCCTGCATCTCCCGCCGCAGTGCAGTCATGGACACCCCGTTCACCTTCATCTGCTGCTGTACCTTGGTCATCTCAGAGCGCGACGGCGTGTTCTTGGCCAGCAGGGACATGGTGGTCAGGGAGGTGGAGGGGCCGGCCACTGGGGTAGGCAGAGAGAATGGGGAGGGTGATGATCTTAGGTACAATCTTTAAATGGGTAGCCAAGTTGAACAATAAAGAAGATAGTCATGTTAATTTTATTCATAATAAGTTACATGGGCGTTTGTACATTACAGGACCTTTATTGGCCATAAAAGGTCAGTGTAGTTGTCCATTACCTGGGGCAGATCCGATGAGGCGCCCTGACAGGTCGGCCCCGGGAAGCCTCTTCTTCAGGATGGGGACAATCTTTTCATCAAAGTACTCCATGGCCATGGAAGAGATGTCTCGCAGCTCCTGCAGCACCTCGTGAGCCCGCTGGGGAGCGCGTGTAGAGTTCACATATCGCAGCACACGGTAGATCTCATCAATCACCTTAGGGAAAGACAGTCACATGCTGGGAACCTTAGGCTTAGGATAAATTGTATCCTTTGGCTGAGAATGTTAAGAATGTGTGCGTTATGTTGTTAAAGCCAAGACTTTGCAAGTTTGAAGAAGTAGCTAGTATCATCATATTGGGATGAACTGGTCTTCCACTTAATTAGAATACTTAAAATTGTGATTCTGCTTTCATCATTTATCAAGACTAGATTATTTTCCTAAACTATCGTCAATCCGTCATAGCCGGTGTAGTCTGATTCAATCTTAGTCCTGTATTGACTCTTTGCCTGTTCGAAGAACCATCAAACAGGCAAAGAGTCAATACAGGACTAAGATTGAATCGTACTACACTGGCTCCGACGCTCGTCGGATGTGGCAGGGCTTGAAAACGATTACAGACTACAAAGGGAAGCACAGCCGCGAGCTGCCCAGTGACACAAGCCTACCAGACGAGCTAAACCACTTCTATGCTCCCTTCGAGGCAAGCAACACTGAAGCATGCATGAGAGCACCAGCTGTTCCAGATGACTATGTGATCACGCTCTCCGTAGCCGATGTGAGTAAGACTTTTAAGCAGGTCAACATTCACAAGGCAGCAGGGCCAGACGGAATACCAGGACGTGTACTCCGAGCATGTGCTGACCAACTTCACTGACATTTTCAACATGTCCCTGACTGAGTCTGTAATACCAACATGTTTCACGCAGACCACCATAGTCCCCGTGCCCAAGGACACTAAGATAACCTGTCTAAATGACTACCGAGCTGTAGCACTGACATCTATAGCCATGAAGTGCTTTGAAAGGCTGGTCATGGCTCACATCAACACCATTATCCCAGAAACCCTAGACCCACTCCAATTTGCATACCGCTCCAACAGATCCACAGATGATGCAATCTCTATTGCACTCCACACTGCCCTTTCCCACCTGGACAAGAGGAACACCTACGTGAGAATGCTATTCATTGACTACAGCTCAGCGTTCAACACCATAGTGCCCTCAAAGCTCATCACTAAGCTAAGGATCATGGGACTAAACACCTTTTTCTGCAACTGGATCCTGGACCCCAGGTGGTAAGGGTAGGTAACAACACATCTGCCACGCTGATCCTCAACACGAGGGCCCCTCAGGGGTGCGTGCTCAGTCCCCTCCTGTACTCCCTGTTCACCCATGACTGCATGGCCAGGCACGACTCCAACACCATCATTAAGTTCGCCGACGACACAACAGTGGTAGGCCTGATCACCGACAACGATGAGACAGCCTATAGGGAGGAGGTCAGAGACCTGGCCGTGTGGTGCCAGGATAACAACCTCTCCCTCAACGTGACCAAGACAAAGGAGAATATTGTGGACTACAGGAAAAAAAAAAGAGGACTGAGCACGCCCCCATTCTCATCGACAGGGCTGTAGTGGAACAGGTTGAGAGCTTCAAGTTCCTTGGTGTCCACATCACCAACGAACTATCATGGTCCAAACACACAAAGACAGTCGTGAAGAGGGCACGACAAAGCCTATTCCCCGTCAGGAGACTGAAAAGATTTGGCATGGGTCCTCAGATTCTCCAAAAAAATTCTACAGCTGCACCATCGAGAGCATCCTGACTGGTTGCATCACCGCCTGGTATGGCAACTGCTCGGCCTCCGACTGCAAGGCACTACAGAAGGTAGTGCGTACGGCCCAGTACATCACTGGGGCCAAGCTTCCTGCCATCCAGGACCTCTATACCAGGCGATGTCAGAGGAAGGCCCTCAAAATTGTCAATTACTCCAGCCACCCTAGTCATAGACTGGTCTCTCTGCTACCGCACGGCAAGCGGTACCGGAGCGCCAAGTCTAGGTCCAAAACGCTTCTCAACAGCTTCTACCCCCAAGCCATAAGACTCCTGAACAGCTAATCATGGCTACTCGGACTACTTGCACTGCCCCCCCCCACCCCATCTTTTTACGCTGCTGCTACTCTTAATTATTTATGCATAGTCACTTTAACTCTACCCACATGTACATATTACCTCAACTACCTGGTGCCCCCGCACATTGACTCTGCACCGGTACCCCCCTGTATATAGCCTCCCTACTGTTATTTTATTTCTGCTCTTTTTTTCCTCAACACTTTTTTGTTGTTTTATTTACTTTTATTAAAAAATAAATGCATTGTTGATTAAGGGCTGTAAGTAAGCATTTCACGGTAATGTCTACACCTGTTGTATTCGGCACATGTGGCAAATAAAGTTTGATTTGATCTAAGAGCAAGAGTGCCATCTTGTTGCCAAATAGGAGCTCTAAAATTAGTTGACGATTAAAAAAAAACACAAAATAACTTAAATTGAACCTGACATTTCCTTCTACTAGTTGGCATATATTGTACAGATGTGTGCCAGGTAGGTAGTGACTAGTAGGTTACAGAGGATGTAGCTAGGTACCTTGCCAGGGATGAAGCAGCAGAGATTTGAGTCCACATATTTCATGAAGGTCATGTTGAGTAAGGAGAGGCGCGTTTCTACAGCAGCCAGGATGTCAGCATGACGGGCCAGTGAGTGGTTCCTCCGCTCGGACTCCCGCCTGCCAAAACAAAAACAAAAACTCACTAAATATACACTGGACAAGACACGGATATCTTTATAAATAATAATATGCCATTTAGCAGACGCTTTTATCCAAAGCGACTTACAGTCATGCGTGCATACATTTTTGTGTATGGGTGGTCCCAGGGTTCGAACCCACTACCTTGGCATTACAAGCGCCGTGCTCTACCAGCTGAGCTACAGAGGACCACATTTATATTCCAAGTAACATTTATGAGTCAATGATCACTTTCCATGGATCATCAAAACAGTGAAGATGGAGTGATTTGGAATAAAATAACGAGGTGAAGCAATACAAAAAAAGTATAGTGAATGTGTTTCATAGCGTCGAGGTCTGAGATAGTCACTTCTGTAATACACTGGTGCTGCTGACGACAATGGGGTGAGTAGGCTAATCATTCATAGGTTGACATCTCAAACTATACTGAACAAAAATATAAACACAGCATGACTTTATTACAGACAGAAATACTCATCAGTACACCCCCCCCCCCCCCCCCCCACACCTGTCAGGTGGATGGATTATTTTGGCTAAGGAGAAATGTTTACTAACATGGATGTAAACAAATTTTTGCACAAAATTTGAGAAATATGTTTTTTGTGCATATGGAACATTTCTGGAATGTTTTATTTCAGCTCATGAAACATGTTGAGTTTATATATTTGTTCAGTGTATTTTATTTTATTACCCACAATGAATCCACACTTGTTACCAGGAGAGGAAAACACAGGCCTGGATAAAAAATTACAGATTTCACAAATGTGCTTTATACCAATCTGTGGTTCCTACAAAGCTCAAACCAGTCAGCACTTCTGGCTTCATTGCCTGGATGCAGTAGGCCTATTTTAACTCATTGATTTGCTTCAGGACCTAGGCCTAGCAAAAAACACCTGTATTCAAATAGCATACCAGTCACATGTCATATACTATAGAATTGCCCTCCCTCCAAGGGTGTTGATACTGACCTTGGCAGCTGGGCTTTGACCTGCCTCTGGCACAGGCTGTGGTAGCGCTCCACCTTGAGGAAGCCTTGGTTCAGTATGCGCTGACAGATCATGTCCATGCGCTTGCATACCTGGGAAAAGAACAGGGGTGGGAAGGTATGGTTGAGCTTCTATTGGGATTAATGTATTTTACAACACCTCCATAACCCTGCATGACACTTACAGCCTGTGATGCGCAAACAAAGTGGCCAGATCAAAAGTGTGGAGCTGAAAAAGAGCCTACTCCCCCACACAGATATAACTACAAAACCTCCCTCGAGTTCTCTGGTATCCCTGGAAAATATACTATTTCGATATCACATTGAATTCCTTGAACGTGAATTCAAAACGTTCAATTGGTCTCTTGCACCACTTTTTCAGATGATGCAAGTAAATGAAAGGACATACTTGATTCATTCGGGATAGCGGGAATATGCCAATTTCTAAATGTGTAGCTAACTAAAGTTACTGTGGTCATATAGAATACACTTTCCCAGTTTTTAGCTAAATCTAAAGAAAACATACTAGTGTTAGCAAGGTAACGTTAACATATTTAGATAGCTAGAAAATAAATACCAATACCGTTTATTAGACAAACAATATTATACCCATAAAACAGTATAAATTTGACTCGTTTTCCACGAGTTCCACCCAGGACAGGCCCCTACTAGCTCGCTATAGCAACCTTGAAATGGAATGGAACAGGTGGGTTGTTGACAAAGCTGATGCAAATAAACTTATCTTAGCACGTGATATAGTTCGGCACCATATTATCATTCAGTGTGGAAAGATTCAACTTTTTTCAAAACATATAAGCAGTGAATCAATGCATGTTACGACTTAACTAGGGAAGGAACTTATTAGCTAGTTAATGACCTCACTTGCTACTCACACTAGCTACATAGCCAATACCGTCTCTGACATAGATAATTTAGCTAGCAACAACTAGATTAGCCAGACGCCGCATTGCCATTTGCTTCGTGGTTTGTTTTTGTTCACCCTCACCAAGCGTATAAGGCTGATTTCGTCGTAAGCCAGGAAATTGAAAATCGTCTCAATCGCCACAATGGGAAGTCCTAATAGCGGGTTGTTCTGGTGTGGTTGATCGGGAGGTGGTGTAGACAATCTCGGTAACACCGAGTCGCAATCCACGGCTTCAAAACCTCGCTCTACTCCTTCTACAACGGCCGCCATCTTCATTTGCTACGGATAGGGGAAATGACGTTTTATAGGGAACGTTCTCTCTCTGAACTGTGGTCGAAGAAAGTCTTGCAAGATTGTACACAACCATTTCAATTAACTTGAGCAAAGAAAGCAAGAGCAGACTATGTCGCTGTATTCGTCCGTACAAAGAGCTGTATCCAGCCCTGGGCCTGGTTTCCCAAAAGCATTTTAAGGCTAAATTCATCGTTAAATCTCCGAGCTGTTATTAACGTTGCACTTGAAAACGCTCGTAATTACGCCTGCCTCAAGACCACGATCATAGAACCACGTCGTTCAATGCTTTTTTTGCCCTCCCGCACCACTTAATACAGATCTCCGCTAAACATAGAATCACATGGTTTATCCGCCTCTCTGTGAACGCTGATAACTTCAGAACAAAGTTGAGTACTAAATAAAAAGATGCCAATGTCTTTCAATTTATACAAACCGGCGACGTATAAAAAATGCTTCAAATTAAAACCAAGATGACTGCATTAAAATATAAATACAGTAGTCTATATGCCTATTTTAATCATATTGAAATACATTTCATGTTCAATCAATTAAGTTATATGTTTCTACTTGTAGGCTACTGTCAATAGGCTAATTTGTCTCAACATATTTATAATAATAATAATAATAATATGCCATTTAGCAGACGTTTTTATCCAAAGCGACTTACAGTCATGTGTGCATACATTTTTACGTATGGGTGGTCCCGGGTATCGAACCCACTACCCTGGCGTTACAAGCGCCATGCTCTACCAATTGAGCTACAGAGGACCACATATTTAATATGTAGCCTAACATCGTTGGCCCTTCCAAATACAAAGATGCCAATTTCTTTGCATAACAAGCGAATGATAGACGCTTCAAATGAAAACCGAGATGACTGTTGAAAGATAAATACAGTATATACTACATATAGCTATATATTTGAATGATAGTGAACTAAATGTCATGTTAATTCAATTGTTTTATCTATCTGTACGCTGTCTAATTTGCCTCAATATATTTCATGTGCGCGCAATGTGCCAAATCTTTAGTGCATTATTATAGGGTACGCATTAGAATAAGCCGCCTCAATACTTGTAGCCACAGGTGACATCTCTCTAGGAGCTGATCCGTCGTCCGTATTAGAATAATTATAATGTTAAGGTAAGATTGGAAAGAGAGAACGCTAATCCGAGAGCAGTGATTCATTTCTTTCGATTCTATCAGAAACAACGCACTTAGCGAACGTTCTCTCTGGGTGGTGTTTTGGGAAACCGGGCCCCATGCATACCATTTCTTGATACCTTCAAATAATGTACGCACTGTGGAATAGGACTGAGGTGGGATAGAAAGTACACACAGACTTTGCAACATCATCAGTATCTAGAGTAAAATGTAATATGCTTTACTTTTGTCTCACAAGTCTATACAGTACACAAAACATAACTGCACCTTGCTGTGTACTATATGTTTGACAGTTGCCACTTGCAAGTGAGAACTGCCATTGAGTTATAAAAACCCTCTTCATTCAGTAAATACTAAAAACATGTTTTATTGTAATGGTTTTACCTAAAAGGATGGAATTCAGGCACAACTCTACAAAATGGGCTAATGACATGAATGAGCCATAAGGATTTGCAAGAGACATAAGCATTAATTAGAATACAAAATATACTACATAAGTGGCACAACCCTTTTTGGGGAAGACAAACCATCTCATGCTGGGTACATATTTTGACAAAGGAATCCAAACTCAAGTTAATCTAGGATGGTAATAAAAATAAAGCATCCTCAGCATTACCACGGTGTGCTTTAATTCCAACTGGTGTTGTATTCTATTGTCCAAAGCAGGGACGGGCAACTCCAGTCCTGGGGGCGGAATGGTGTCACACTTTCCCCCCCCCCCATCCCTAGCAAACACAGCTGATTAAACGAATTGCATTCTGAACTGAATATCATTACAACTTATCCAGAATGCCGCAGCCCGTCTGGTGTTCGACCTTCCCAAGTTCTCTCATGTCACCCCGCTCCTCCGCACACTCCACTGGCTTCCAGTTGAGGCTCGCATCTACTACAAGACCATGGTGCTTGCCTACGGAGCTGTGAGGGGAACGGCACCTCCTTACCTTCAGGCTCTGATCAGACCCTACACCCAAACGAGGGCACTACGTTCATCCACCTCTGGCCTGCTAGCTCCCTTACCTCTACAGAAGCACAGTTCCCGATCAGCCCAGTCAAAGCTATTTGCTGCTCTGGCACCCCAATGGTGGAACAAGCTCCCCCACGACACCAGGACAGCGGAGTCACTGACCACCTTCCGGAGACACTTGAAACCCTACCTCTTTAAGGAATACCTGGAATAGTATAAAGCAATCCTTCTACCCCCCCCCCCACAAAAAAAAGAAGAAGAAAAAAAGTGGTTGTCCCACTTGCTATCATAAATTGAATGCACCAATTTGTAAGTCGCTCTGGATAAGAGCGTCTGCTAAATGATGTAAATGTAAATTAGTTGATTATTGGAGTCAGGTGTTAGCTGGGGCTGGGACAAAAGTGACACCAATCAGGCCCAAAGGATTGGAGTTGCCCATTCCTGGTCCAAAGCATGTTGCACACAGGCTCAAGACATGTCTAACCCCTGTATTGAGTATTTACATTTGGTCCAACTTAATTGCTCTTATTCCATCTCCGTGGAGTCGAGCTCAGTGAGGAATCTTCGACACTTGGTCATGAGAACTTTGATGGCCTCTGTGACCAGGACATCAGGTGCCAGGATGCCAGTGGATTCTACAGAAACTTTATGGGAAAGAGGAAACACAGGATTGATGGGTGCTCATGCACAGAATGCCAAACTATACTACACAAACAAAGTAAAAGAATCACTGAGGAAAAACAAACAATTCGCTTCTACAGTGCAACAATAGTTATGGGCTATGTACTACAAGACATGTTTACTGTACATTTCACAAATTTGCCAAGCTGCAAACAGTGATTTCTAAATTCACTGGGTACATACAGATGAAATGGTCCCGCACTCTTGCAAGCTTCACAGTGTTCTTGAGGTCGTCATGTCGGAGAACCTCCCTACTGCAGGTATCTAAGCGACTGTTCACCAACTTGGCAACAACCTTTCCTGGGACAGAAGGAAAATTATAAGCTACATGGATCATAAATAGCTACAGTAGAAGTACTGTTTCACACATGTACAAGTGTGTACTATACTCGTGTGAAATATATATATATATATTTTTTAGCATATCCCAACTCCCCCTGAGACAACCTCAGTGTTGGGTCACGGCAAACGGCAACCGGCAACCCTGGAGCAATCAGGGTTTGCTCAAGGGCATATAGACAGATTTTTCACGTTGTTGGCTCTAGGATTCGAACTAGCGACCTTTTAGTTCCTGGCCCAACGCTCTAACCTCTAGGCTACCTGCCACCCATAAAGGTTGTTGTCTGAAGACTGCGACCTGAACTCAGTACCATAAACCCCTCAGCCATCCTGACATAATGCTTCAAAATGTTATAGCTACTGTTTTACCCCCATTGTTCTCCACCTCAATAACTCCAGGGGAGAAGCAGCGTTTTAGTCTCTCCGCTTTCTCCCCCTCCACTGTTTCCATTAGTGTGATCTCAGGAAGGAGTCTGTAACTGGCTGTAGCCACAGGTGAAAACTTGGCGTGGTCTTGACCTGGAAAGATAGAGCATAGGATTGCGCCATCAGAACAGGAAAGAGAGCGATCACTCATTTCAACAAGAGATGACAGAGAGCTGTAGTTACAGGCAATGGTGTAGCGAGGGTATATTAACGTAAACGCTTTTTTATTTTGCACGAGCATTTACCCATCTCTTGCGAAGAAATGCATTTAAAATATAGGGAGCATAACTTTATTCACCACGGACAGCAATCACCCACCTGTTATTTATTTTTCCCACTACTTCACTGGTTACAGGGCTTGAGAAAGCTTTAGGTTAAACTGTAGTCTGAGATTGCCATTGTGCAGACATTATCACATTTTGCAGAGAAAGTCCTCTCACCAATGCCTTTCACACAGTGCATGACTATATCCAGCTCCTGTCCAGGCCGGAGCTGTGCCAGAAGGATGTCCCCATGTACTGGACCGATGTTGATATCTGCAAACACATCAGCTTGGTTCCCAATAGGGACCCACTTCATGTCCTTGGAGTACACTGAGGAAAAATCAAAGACATTACAGGTTAAAGGGGCACCTCTGCACAGACTAGAAAAAGTTCAATTATTCACTTACTTTAAATGAGAATATGTATAAAACTGCAGACTTTGTTAGGATGGCAGACATTTTTAATCAGTTCCTCCATGATTTGGCAGGGATTTTTTGTGATATTTGCAGGCAAAAATTATTGACTTTGCTGAGGCAATTCTGACATTTTGCATGGCAATATGCAATGATATTGTCCAATTTGTCATGAAAATGCAGTGACGAGGGAAAAAGTTTGTTGACGTTTGGCTTGATTGAACATATTATGCGGTAAATGTGAGGTGATTGTTTGAAATTGCGAGCCTCTTTTTGTTCTGCATTGAATGGTCAGTTTTATGCTATAATATTGCATTGATTTGACTGTTTAATGCGGAAATATGTTGCAGTTGCAGGATTGCGGAATCCTGGAGGGACTGTTTAATGTACAAGTTCATGTAACGTTTATTACCATTTTCAATAATTTATTTCACTTAGTCCTGCATACTGGAGCTCGGAGCCTAAGATTTTCACTGTACCCTGCAAACACACCTGCAACCCTGCACATGTGACTATTAAACACTGAATCTGAAGTTATGAGGAAATTATGCTCAGCTTCTCTTAAGGCCGTGGCCACACTTAGACACATGAACACAGATCAAATCGTATATGACGTACATGATTGACAATTTTTTACTGTCAAAAGTACAACTCATCTCTACTATACTTTTTCATGCTAGTTGCATATGTAAAAATATATACCATTTGTGTTTTTTTGGTCGGACATACATCTCCATTGTCATTAATCCGGCAACGGATGACTCCCATTCCAAAATTCTTGGACACAAGAATGTCCACGGCCTTACCTACCCATGTGGTTCAGGTAAAGTTCCCGGGGGTCAGCAGATTCTTTGGTGGCTCTGGGGTTCCTGGTGCATTTGATCTTCAGTTGAAGTTGAATTGTGTCGATTTCTGTGCCTTCCTCGTCCCCTGAGAAAAGCACAAATTCCTTAAACTTGTACAAACAAAACTGATGTAGCTGGTGGTGACCCTCTACATGACAAGTCTTGGAACTTTGTATGGCCATTGTCAGTGGGGACAGGCAAGGTAAGCAGCATAAACGTACCTGCGTTTCTGTACTCAAACAATCGTGGGTCAGCCTTGATAGGGATCAAGCCCAGCCTGTGGGCAAGGATCTCATCCTGAATTATGGATGTGTTGTTGTAAATAAACACCTTCTCGACAGCCATAGTGGGGACCTAGGAGAGGGCGGATTAATAGATGTTATTTTGTTCTCTGCCATCTAAAAACATCAAACACGGAGACCACCTCGTATGCTGTTTTCATTGGCTGGATGCTATCTGAGTAGTAGCTACCTCTGCGAGTAATATCCGTCGAAAGGCATTGGCGATAGCTGCATCTATGCCCACCATGTCGAACTCCAGAGAAGTCTCATCCATTTGCACCACGTCGATTCTGAAATTCTGCAATATATATATTATATTGTAATGTGTATATATGGGCATTCCACGCAACAGATTTGAATGTAAAATCAGGCCAACATGATAATAGTTAGTTTACCTTTTGGAATTTCTGCAAGCTCCATGTGTCATCGTAGCCTGGATAATTGCCAGGGTAATCGGTTGTATGAACCTATCAAATACAGTAAATATTTTTCATGACAATGTTGTGTGAGAACAGCGTTGTATTTTCTACTGTACTAGCTAACGTTAACTAGCTAACGCGTTAGCTGCACATAATGATGTTATTAGCTAGCAAACATGCCCACCCGTTTATTCCAAGAATACCTGCCCACAAATTCTGGGCATAGACAGCATCTCCACTTATTTGTTCTTCAATCACTTACATTTTTTACATCAAATTCACCTAATATCACTCTATCCCGAATTTCATCCACGTTGCTCATGGTCGCTGCCATTTTGCCAATGTTTTCATAGACGTCACAAGCTCCGGCTTTCTTCTTCTTTGTTGGGGTTTTACGGCGGATTACATCCAAAAGTTGTATTGCCGCCACCTATTGTGCGGGATGAAAATAAAAGATCCTAAAAGACAAAAATGATTACATTTACATTTACATTTACGTCATTTAGCAGACGCTCTTATCCAGAGCGACTTACAAATTGGTGCATTCACCCTATAGCCAGTGGGATAACCACTTTACACATTTTTATTTTTTATTTATTTAAATTTTTAAAAAAAAATTTGGGGGGGGGGGGGGGGGGGTAGAAGGATTACTTTATCCTATCCCAGGTATTCCTTAAAGAGGTGGGGTTTCAAATGTCTCCGGAAGGTGGTGAGTGACTCCGCTGTCCTGGCGTCGTGAGGGAGCTTGTTCCACCATTGGGGTGCCAGAGCAGCGAACAGTTTTGACTGGGCTGAGCGGGAACTATGCTTCCGCAGAGGAAGGGGAGCCAGCAGGCCAGAGGTGGATGAACGCAATGCCCTCGTTTGGGTGTAGGGACTGATCAGAGCCTGAAGGTACGGAGGTGCCGTTCCCCTCACAGCTCCATAGGCAAGCACCATGGTCTTGTAACAGATGCGAGCTTCAACTGGAAGCCAGTGGAGTGTGCGGAGGAGCGGGGTGACGTGAGAGAACTTGGGAAGTAGTAGTATAATGTGGATAAAGATGCTCCTTGCCTCTACTGTTAACATAAATAATCCGTGTCAGATCCCTACACAGGCTCAGGAGCCTGGGAGGGCAGCATATCTTCAGTTGTCAATAACCCTTACAACACTTCTGCTGTGAATTCCTGAAGCCCCAGATACTTTCCTGCCACAGCTACAATGATGTCCAATTTCTTTGATGGCTACTTGAGCCGTGCAGTTTATCACAGTTGCAATGAACGCCACAAAATCCACTTTCTTTACATGCAGCATGTATCCACAACCATCTCTTCAACACTAGTGTCACTTTCTCTCTCAATTCTTTTGATTGCCTCTGCATAGGAGATCCGATGGACCACCCTAACTTTAGCCACCTCAACCTCCTTCACCCTCACAGTGCACTCCACAACAGTGGAGGTTGGTGGGAGGAGTTATAGGAGAACAGGCTCATTGGAATGGAATAAATGTAACGGCACGTATCAAACATATGGAAACCAAATGTTTGACTCCATTCCATGCATAATATTCCATGCATTACAATGAGCCCATCCTCCTATAGCTCCTCCCACCAGCCTCCTCCGCTCCACAAACTCTGGGTCATGATCTCCACCACAATTGCAACATGGCCATTCTTCACTCCGATCATCCGTATACTCCTTCCATCTGCACACATTTGAAACATTACCAAATCCTTTACTGTCTTTGCATTGCAGTGGTTTTGGGACAAAAGTTCTTACTCAGTATCTCATATATCCTAGCTTTACAGTAATGGAGGTATACACTATCATCCTTATAAAAATGTTTGCATCCCAACTAAAAGCAAATCCTTGTCCGACATAGATTTATCATCCCCTTCATTTTTCAACACTTAATTTTTTTCCATTCCATTCTTTGATACTACTGTTCTCTATTCCTCTTCTCCAACTCGACTCGCTTCTCGTTTCACTCTCGACATCCACTTCCGCCAAGATCCTCCCCTCTCCAGCTACGCCTCTCTACCTCTTCTGGTGCTCTCAAATGTCAGTGTCCGACCTCCCTATCCCAAGCCTAAATTTGTTTTAGACTGTCTCTCTTCATTCAAGTACCCCGAAATTTGTGGATTTGTGAATTGTGAATCCTGCTCTATACAGCCAGGGATTTAGTAGGGTTCTAGTAGCCTTTAGTAGCATCTGTACCAACTGTTCCAACTTCCAACTGTTCCATCTGTTCCAACAGTTGATGTCAGTCACTTGCTGTCAAAGGCATGTTTGAAATCTCTGCACACCAGGCAAGCAAAAACAAGTGTGCCTGGTGAGAGTTTGCATTGAGGAGGTAACGGTCTATGTCTGTTTATCTTCGAGGCATGTATGAGGTGAGGACTAACGTTATCACTGTTTATGTTTAGGCTTTATAATGAGGCCGTTTCAGGTGCTGTGTCCTGCAAGACAGGTGAGCTAGTGGGTTGTGTGTCAGGTGTGTCAGGGTCATGTGACTCTAGGCAGAGGTGTGTATGTGAGCCAAATGTGAGTGAGCCTTCATCTCTGGAGGACCTGGAGGAGGTGTTACATTCAGCCCAGAGCTCATGTAGGCACGGAGATGAGGTGTGGCCCAACCTATACCTGGGGGACAAGCGAGTACACCTGCTTTTCCAGTCGTAATTACACAGACTACACAGGCGCACAAACATGTGCATGCACGTGCACACATTTATACATACACACCTTGAGACTAATGCACCATGTACACTACCTGTCAAAAGTTTTAGAACACCTACTCACTCAAGGGTTTTTCTTTATTTTTAATATTTTCTACATTGTAGAATAATAGTGAAGACATCAAAGCTATGAAATAACACATATGGAATCATGTAGTAACCAAAAAATATATATTTTATATTTCAGATATTTCAAATAGCCACTCTTTGCCTTGATGACAGCTTTGCACACTCTTGGCATTCTCTCAACCAGCTTCACCTGGAATGCTTTTCCAACAGTCTTGAAGGAGATCCCACATATAATGAGCACTTGTTGGCTGCTTTTCCTTCACTCTGCGCTCCGACTCTTCCCAAACCATCTCAATTTGGTTGAGGTCATGTCACACCCTGATCTGTTTCACCTGTCTTTGTGATTATCTCCACCCCCCTCCAGGTGTCGCCCATCTTCCCCATTATCCCCAGTGTATTTATACCTGTGTTCTCTGTTTGTCTATTGCCAGTACGTTTTGTTTCGTCAAGCCTACCAGCGTTTTTCCCCTTGCTCTTCTTTCTCAAGTTCTTGTTTTCTAGTTTTCCCGGTTTTGACCATTCTGCCTGCCCTGATCCTGAGCCTGCCTGCCGTTCTGTTCCTTGTCACACCATCCTGGATTATTGACCTCTGCCTGCCCTGACCCTGAGGCTGCCTGCCGTTCTGTACCTTTTGGACTCCGATCTGGATTACTGACCTCTGCCTTCCCTTGACCTGTCGTTTGCCTGCCCCCCTGTTTTTGTAATAAACTTTTGACACATTAACAACTTTTGTTACTTCGACACTGTCTGCATCTGGTTCTTCTCCTGAAACATGACAGTATGAACTGGCCATGACTGACCCAGCAGATTCGGACCAGCTCCGCAACGCCATCTCCTCCCAAGGAGCAACCATTGGAAGGCACGAGGAGTTGCTTTGTAGTCTCATGGAAGGGTTCCAGACCTTGGCCGAACGCCATGACCGAGCGTTTAACACATTGCTGGAGCAATTCTGCAGGCTGTCTGTTAGGCAGCCTACCATGACGGTAACCTCCCAGTCCCTCAGTAACCCGGCTGTTAGCAGCGCGGTCTCCCCAGCCACCCTGATTTCCTGAGAACCCTGCTTACCTCCCCCGGAACGCTTCGCTGGAGAGTCGGGAACCTGTAGGCCATTTCTCGCTCAGTGTTCGCTCATCATCGAGCTGTAGCCCTCCTCCTTCCCCTCGGACCGCTCTAAGATAGCGTACCACATCACGCTGATGTCCGGGAGGGCTCTCGCCTGGGCTAAGACATTGTGGGAACAACAGTTGGCCGTATGCTTCAGTCTGGAGGAGTTCATGCAGGAGGTAAAGAAGGTTTTCGATGCTCCATTGTTCGGGAGAGAGGCTGCCCGGAAGTTACTCAGACTTCGGCAAGAATCCCGCAGTGTGGCAGACTATGCAGTGGATTTCCGCACGTTGGCAGCTGAGTGTGCCTGGAACCCGGAAGCGCTGTTTGACACGTTACTGCACGGAGTATCGGAGGAAGTAAAGGACAAGCTTGCAGCCCAGGAACTACTGACGGATATCGGCTAGCTCATCGTCTTGACCATTCGGATCGATGGGCGACTACGGGAACGAAGGAAGGAGAGGAAGTCCGATTCCAATCGCCCGCCCAAGGATTCCACCTCACCTCCGAGGCATCCTGGAAGTCCCCGGCGGCTCTGTTGCCGAGAGAACCCGAGGCTACCCGAGTTCCCTCGATAGTCTCCGAAGTCTGCAGATTCACCTCTTCCCGAGCCGATGCAATTAGGCAGAGCTAAGCTGTCTCCAGCCGAATGGACAATACAGGCTTCACACAAAGAGTTGCCTGTATTACAGGAATACTGGTCATTTTGTGTCCACCTGTCCACTAAAAGACCATATGGATAACTTTTCCTCTCCCCTTACTCGCACCCCTTTTCATGCCATCTTGCTGTGGGGGAACCATTCAAAATCTCTCCGGGTACTCATCGGCTCTGGGACCGATGAGAGCTTTATGGACGCCACCCTGGCATCCGAGCTAGGCATCCCCACTCAGCCCCTCTCCATTCCCATGGACGTTAGAGCGCTGGACGGGCGCCAGGTCACCCACAATACCACCCCCATCAACCTATGAGTATCAGGGAACCACAGCGAGATGATCCAATTCCTGCTAATTAAGTCTCCTCAGGTTCCCGTGGTATTGGATTTCTCTTGGCTCCAGCGACAAAACCCCTTCATTGACTGGTCTACTGGTGCCATCATGGGCTGGAGCCCGTTCTGCCACGCTCATTGCCTGAAGTCAGCACAGCCTGCCCCGGGACGTCTTCCTGGGGGCTCGGAAGTTGCCTCGGACCTCTCTGCCATTCCCGCGGAGTATCAGGACCTCCAGGAGGTGTTCAGTAAGGCCCAGGCCTCTTCGCTTCCGCCACATTGACCCTACGATTGCAGAATCAACCTTCTCCCAGGCACCACTCCACCCTGGGGACGACCGTACTCGCTGTCGGGGCCGGAGACCAAGGCTATGGAGACCTACATTGAGGACTCCCTAGCTGCTGGGTTCATCCGTCCTTCTGCATCCCCCACCGGTGCAGGGTTCTTCTTTGTGGAGAAGAAGGACAAAATCCTGCGCCCGTGCTTCGACTACCGGGGCCTCAACGACATCACGCTGAAGAACCGCTACCCGCTACCACTCATCTCCTCGGCCTTCGAGCCGCTCCAGGGGGCCAATGTATTCTCCAATCTGGACCTACGGAGCGGCTACCACCGGATTCGGGAGGGGGACGAGTGGCAGACTGCCTTCAACACGGCCAGCGGTCACTACGAGTATCTGGTTATGCCATTTGGCCTTACCAATGCTCCAGCTATGTTCCTGGACCTGTTTAATTATGTTCTCTGCGACATGTTGAACCGGTTCATCTTCGTCTACCTCGACGACATCCTCGTCTTCTCCCGCTCTGCCCAAGAACACTTGCTCCACGTCCAACAGGTTCTCCAACGCCTCCTGGAGAACCAGCTTTTTGTGAAAGCGTAGAAATGCAAATTCCATCGCTCCACCATCCCCTTCCTGGGCTACATCATCACTGCAGGGAGTGTACAGATGAATCCCGGGAAGGTGAGAGCGGTAGGTGGATTGGCCCCAGCCTACATCCAGAGTGCAGCTGCAACGTTTCCTGGGATTCGCCAACTTTTATCACCACTTTATCCGGGGTTACAGCACCATGGCTTCCCCCCTGTCTGCACTCACCTCTCCTAAGGTTCTGTTCACATGGTCCCCAGCTGCTGACCAAGCGTTCCAGGACTTCAAACACCGTTTCACCACTGCTCCCATCTTGGTTCATCCTGACCCGTCCCGCCAGTATATGGTGGAGGCCAATGCTTCAGATGTCGGAATGGGGGCGGTCCTGTCCCAGTGTTCGGCCCTGGACCTCAAGTTACATCCCTGCGCCTTCTTCTCCCATCACCTCAACACCACGGAGAGGAATTACGATGTGGGGAATCGTGAGCTTCTCGTGGTGAAGATGGCATTGGAGGAGTGGAGGCAGTGGCTGGAGGGGGAGGAACATCCATTCATTGTGTGGACAGACCACAAGAACTTGCAATATCTCCGCACCGCCAAGCGTCTCAATTCCAGGCAAGCTAAGTGGGCCCTGCTTTTCACCCCATTCAACTTCTCCCTCTCATACCGACCGGGATCCAAGAATGTCAAGCCAGATGTGCTGTCACAACGCTATAGCCCTACGGCTACACCCCCGGAATCCGAGACCATCCTTCCCACCTCGTACTTGGCGACGGCACTCAGTTGGGGAATAGGAAAGAAGGTCCGGGAGGTTTGTTCCTGACGCTGTCCACTCTTGATCTGGAGTGGGCCCACTCCTCCAGGCTTGCTTGCCGCCCTGCTCCCGTCGGACCCTGGACTTTGTGCGACAACGCTTTTGGTGGCCTACCATGGTTCCTGACGTCTCCGCGTTCGTCGCCGAGTGCACGATCTATGCGCAGAACAAGACTCCTCTCCCCAAGCTACCCTCCACCAAAGAGACGGCCCAGCTCATGGTGCAGCACGTCTTCCGGATCCATGGACTCCTAGTGGACATGGTCTCCGACCGGGGTCCTCAGTTCTCGTCTCGGTTCTGGAAGGCGTTCTGCACACTCATTGGGTCGTCGGCCAGCCTGTCCTCTGGTTTCCACCCTCAGTCCAACGGCCAGTTGGAGCGAGCCAACCAAGATCGGGAGACAACTCTGAGCTGCCTGGTCTCCGCCAACCCCACCACCTGGAGCCAGCAACTAGTGTGGGTCGAATACGCCCACAACACCATTCCCTGCTCTGCCACATGTCTTTCGCCCTTTGAGTGTTCCCTGGGTTATCAGTCTCCACTCTTCCCGGAGCAAGAGGAAGAAGTCCAAACCAGATGGGATGGCGTATCGCTGCAGAATGCTGTGGTAGCCATGCTGGTTAAGTGTGCCTTGAATTCTAAATATATCCCAGACAGTGTCACCAGAAAATCACCCCCACACCATAACACCTCCTCCTCCATGCTTTACGGTGGGAAATACACAAGCGGAGATCATCCGTTCACCCACACCCCGTCTCACAAAGCCACGGCGGTCAGAACCAAAAATCTCAAATTTGGACTCCAGACCAAAGGACACATTTCCACCGGTCTAATGTCCATTGCTCGTGTTTCTTGGCCCAAGCAAGTCTCTTCTTCTTATTGGTGTCCTTTAGTAGTGGTTTCTTTGCAGCAATTCGACCATGAAAGCCTGATTCATACAGTCTCCTCTGAACAGTTGATGTTGAGATGTGTCTGTTACTTCAACTCGGTGAAGCATTTATTTGGGCTGCAATTTCTGAGGCTGGTAACTCTAATGAACGTATCCTGTGCAGCAGAGGTAACTCTGGGTCTTCCATTCCTGTGGCGGTCCTCATGAGAGCCAGTTTCATCATAGCACTTGAAGAAACATTAAAAGTTCTTGAAATTTTCCATATTGACTGACCTTCATGTCTTAAAGTAATGATGGACTGTCGTTTCTCTTTGCTTATTTGAGCTGTTCTTGCCATAATATGGACTTGGTCTTTTACCAAGTAGGGCTATCTTCTGTTTACCCCCCCTACATTGTCACAACACAACTGTTTGGCTCAAACGCATTAAGAAGGAAACAAATTCCACAAATTAGTTTTTAAGAAGGCACAGCTGTTAATTGAAATGCATTCCAGGTGACTACCTCATGAAGCTGGTTGAGAGAATGCCAAGAGTGTGCAAAGATATTATCAAGGCAAAGGGTGGTTATTTGTTTAACACTTTTTTGGTTACTACATGATTCCATATGTGCTATTTCATAGTTTTGATGTCTTCACTATTATTCTACAATGTAGAAAATAGTAATAATGAAGAAAAACCATTGAATGAGTAGGTTTTCTAAAACTTTTGACCGGTAGTGTATATACTCATAGAACGCTGGTCACCTCACATTCTGTTTATATACTGTTGTTTACTCACTGTGTATGTATATACTGTATTCTCGACATAAGTAGCCTTGCATGAGCTTTGGCTTGAGCGAGCCGGAACATCTCATAGGGCAGGAGCCTATCTAATGTTTCTGTAGAGTGAGGCAGCTTGATGTACAAGTACACCCCCTGGACAGGACGCTAGTCTATCACAGGGCCTTACCCCCAATCTATCTCCTTAATTCTTAATCAGGTCCCATTTTTACATTCTTTGGTATGACTCTGTATTCTCAACATAGCTCATTCTAATATACCTACTACTGTACATACCATTTTCTTCCAAACTATATACTGTCTATACACACACCATGATTATGTCCCATGCTCACTCTAATATATCTACTCTGGATTGATAATTGGACTCGTTCACTAATTTCTTGATTTCTTGTTTCGATTTTTCATTATTTGAGTAATTGTATTGTATTTGCGAAACATTCTACTGCACTGTTGGTGCTAGTAACCCAAGCATTTTGCTGCACCTGCTATAACACCTGCAAATCTGTGTACTCGACCAATAAACTTTGATTTGATTTGACCACGTATGTTTGGATGTGGTGTGTGTGATGGTGTGTTGTTTGTCTCAGCTGGGCGATTCCTCGCCAGACGGAGTAGAACAGATTTCTGGTATCTCAGATTGTTCTGGCAATTCTCACATAGAAACTTCATTGGAAGGAAGGATGTTTGACAGGATTTTCTAATTTGTATCACAAACCTATTTTTGAGAAAACCATTATGAAATGGCAATTCTAGGCCCTTTTAGACCCAAAAAATATCTTTGGGTATTGCCTAGCTACATGATAGGAATGGACTGTGTATATGTGTGTATGTGTGTGTGTATGCGTGTGTGTGACTGATGTGTGACTGTGTATGTGTTATTGTGTTCCCTAGGCAAGGTCGGCTGCGTTGGTCCTAGCCTTCCTCATGACCCATCATCATCATTCTCTCATGGCAGCCGTCCGTCTGGTGCAGCAGAAACGATGGGTCATCCCCAACAGAGGATTCCTAAAGCAGCTCATTAACCTGGACTACACTCTTCAGAAAGAGAGAAGGGATGGAATACACACACACACAAATTATAAACACGCATACACAGTACACACACACACACACCTCCTTTCCCCTCCATTCCTCCCTCCCTCCATTCATCTGATGACCTGTGACATAATGCCTGTTACATGACTCTTTCTTTCCCTTTCTTTGTTAATCCATCTTTCTCCTATCTCCATTTCCATCCTTAATTTTTCTACCCCGTATTGTATCCTCTCTCTCTGATGAATATATATATAGAGAGAGAGAGACAGAGAGAGAGAGAGAGAGAGAGTGAGGCAGACAGACAGAGAGAGAGAGAAAGAAACAGAGCGAAAGAAAGAACAGGCTGAACCCAGAGCTAAATCGGGGGACAACCAGTAGCCACCTGCTTATGTCCCTCACCCCCCCCCCCCCCCCCCACACACACACACACCCTCGCCTGCTGGAGATGGTCACACAGGTCCAGAGGGCTACAGTAGTTGAGTCAGTCAAAGTGGTGCCACTGTGTAGGGAGAATGTCAAAGGGAGAGCAGCAAGACCTGGTGGCTATTAAAGAACTAGAGTCGATCCTGGAGTCCTGCAAGCTTGAACTGACACCACTAGATGAGGTCTGGCCTAATCTCTACATCGGAAACGTGTAAGTTTGTGTTTCTTATTTTTAGTTCTTTTTTTAAATTCCCTTACCCCTGCCCTTGGGTTGGATGGGTTTTAGATGGGTTTTAGAAATACGGTAATAGTGATAATACTAGATGAAATATGTTGGAACCCCCTATACAATCCTTTGGGTTCTATAGAAGTATGAGTAAGAGCTAAAAGGTAGAGGCTGGGGGTCAGGGCTAGAGGTTGATTTGGAATTCAGCATCTCAGGTTCCTATAGTGGGCTCTATTTCCCTATTGAACACTGCTGAACACTACTAAACCTTACTTAACACTGTTAAACACATACTGAACATGGAATTACTGAACATTTTTTATTTTTAAACTACTGCATTAATTTATCGCCTAAATCTTGTCTATATTATTCCAGGCTGTTCACTGATTAATCCGTTCTCTGCAGGTTATTTCTGGTCAAACAGTTATGCAATCTCACGTTTCACATTCACCCCCCCCCATACCTTTCCCTTAGGGCCATAGCTCAGAACAGAGGTGCATTGAAGAAGCTTGGTATCACACACATCCTGAACGCAGCTCACTTTAAGCAGGGTAGCATTGGTGACCAGGATTACTATGGAAACGCCTGTGTGTACTGTGGCTTCCCTACAGAAGACTCATCCCATTTTGACCTCAGCCAGTACTTTAAACCTGCAGCTGACTTCATACATAACGCCCTGAAGACTAAAGATGGTAGGGGCACTTTAATGCATGTGTTTACTGTATGTGTTTGTGTTTACTGTATGTGTTGTATGTGTTTACATTACTGAATGTTTTTACTGTGTTAATGTACTGTATGTGTTTACATTACTGAATGTGTTTATTTTTTTTACATTTTAGTCATTTAGCAGACGCTCTTATCCAGAGCGACTTACAGTTAGTGAATACATATATTTTTTATACTGGCCCCCCGTGGGAAGCGAACCCACAACCCTGGCGTTGCAAACGCCATGCTCTATCAACTGAGCTACATCCCTGCCAGCCATTCCCTCCCCTACCCTGGACAACGCTGGGCCAATTGTGCGCCGCCCATGAGTCTCCCGGTCGCGGCCGGCTGCGACAGAGCCTGGATTCGAACCAGGATCTCTAGTGGCACAGTTAGCACTGTGATGCAGTGCCTTAGACCACTGCGCCACTCAGGAGCAGTGTACTGTATGTGTTTACATTACTGAATGTGCCTACTTCTTTACAGTTTATTTAAGACTCTCTAGGGACAGTTGAGTTCCTTCATCAAACTCTGCCTCTCCCTTCATTCCCTCTATTCCCACACTCTCTCTATCCTCTCCAGGGAAGGTGTTGGTGCATTGCATCATGGGTATAAGTCGTTCCGCCACGCTGGTGCTGGCGTTCCTGATGATGCACTGTCGTCTGCCACTTCGCACCGCGCTCAAACATGTGACCCAGCGACGCGCCATCTACCCCAACAGACACTTCCTGTCACTACTGCTCACCCTCGACACACAGCTCACACGCAAGAGGAGACTATGTCCCCTTCTCTGACAGTCCTTCTCTCATCCCTATCTCCTCCCATCCCGCTCTCCTCTCACCTCATCCGTCTCTCCTCTTATCCATCTATCCATCTCACACACAATCCTTTATACTGGTTGAAAATATGTAGTTGTAGGACTTTTACAATAGGTACAAACTGGTATTAAATCACAGCATGTTGTATATACTGTAAATTACCATATCATGCGGTAGCAGGATTCCCTGGAGAGAATGTCAATGCTCAGTGTCTTTTAAAATCTAAAATATCAAAAGAATTTGAACTTTTCAACATTCCTGTGCTAGCCAGTGGTGATAGTTGAGCCTGCTGTGAGTTGTGCAGCTGAGCATTGTCTCCTGGGAATCTATACATTGAAACACTAATAATGAGATTACAAAATTAAAAAGGTATTTTTGTTCCAGTTTGGTGTCTGTTGTATTACTTTCAGTCTACTACTACTATATTATGAACTATAACTCCTCTACATTATGAATAGTGTCAGCTGTCCAGTAAATTCTGGAGGATGTTTTCGTCACTGGTGAGGAGGTTTAGAATTACAGAGGGTTAAAAATGGAAAATAACTGCAGGTGTGTGTGTGTGTGTGTGTGTGTGTGGGAAGACGAGCAGACACAGTGAGAGGAGGAACTGTGCTGCCTGTTAAAAGTAAGTTGACTTGGATTTGAGGGGAAAGACGTTTTATTTGAGATTGTTGACCTGACCAGACTGTTTTCTGCTCTGCTTTGGTTTAGCTGTCACTGTAACACACCTCCTCCTCAGACTGTCAGCATGTCTCTGAGGGAGCGGTGATGTAAGCCTCCGTCTGTCTGAGCTGCTGGAGTTCCTGCTAGCCGACCGACGGCCCACCGGCCACCTCAACCAAGTCGGGCCCAACCTCTACATCGACATCCAGTAGTTACACACACACACACACACACACACACACACACACACACACACACACACACACACACACACACACACACACACACACACACACACACACACACACACACACACACACACACACACACACACACACACACATACACACAAGCACACGCACGCACACACTGGTCACTGCCCCTGCAGCGGTCTGTCAGCCAACCAAGAGGACACACTCCATCTGTCAGAGCTGTGTCAGATCTTGTGGACCAATAGGCAGCCTGTAGGACCTAGTCTGGCCCAACCTCTACATCGGAGTGAGTATGTTGTGTGTGTGTGTGTGTGTGTGTGTGTGTGTGTGTGTGTGTGTAGAATGATAGTTTATAGAACAGTATGTAATATGCAGGGATGTGGCTCGTGATAAAGCCCTACTGTCATCTCTGTGTATCACCCACATCGTAAATACAACGGACGGCTGTCACCGGATCAGCACTGGCTCAGGTTACTATAGCGACCTGCCGGTGGAGTACTATGGTGTGGTGGAGGCTCCAGATGATACAGGGTTTAACCTTTATCCTCACTTCAACCCCACCGCAGATTTCATTTATACCACCCTGAAGCAAGACGGTGAGTGTAGTCACAAACACACAAATACAGTGAGGGAAAAAAGTATTTGATCCCCTGCTGATTTTGTACGTTTGCCCACTGACAAAGACATGATCAGTCTATAATTTTAATGGTAGGTTTATTTGAACAGTGAGAGACAGAATAACAACAAAAAATACAGAAAAACGCATGTCAAAAATGTTATAAATTGATTTGCATTTTAATGAGGGAAATAAGTATTTGACCCCTCTGCAAAACATGATTTAGTACTTGGTGGCAAAACCCTTGTTGGCAATCTCAGAGGTCAGACTTTTCTTGTAGTTGGCCACCAGGTTTGCACACATCTCAGGAGGGATTTTGTTCCACTCCTCTTTGCAGATCTTCTCCAAGTCATTAAGGTTTCAAGGCTGACGTTTGGCAACTCGAACCTTCAGCTCCCTCCACAGATTTTCTATGGGATTAAGGTCTGGAGACTGGCTAGGCCACTCCAGGACCTCAATGTGCTTCTTCTTGAGCCACTCCTTTGTTGCCTTGGCCGTGTGTTTTGGGTCATTGTCATGCTGGAATACCCATCCACGACCCATTTTCAATGCCCTGGCTGAGGGAAGGGTTCTTACCCAATTGACGGTACATGGCCCCGTCCATCGTCCCTTTGATGTGGTGAAGTTGTCCTGTCCCCTTAGCAGAAAAACACCCCCAAAGCATAATGTTTCCACCTCCATGTTTGACGGTGGGGATGGTGTTCTTGGGGTCATAGGCAGCATTCCTCCTCCTCCAAACACGGCGAGTTGAGTTGATGCCAAAGAGCTCGATTTTGGTTTCATCTGACCACAACACTTTCACCCAGTTCTCCTCTGACTCATTCAGATGTTCATTGGCAAACTTCATACGGCCCTGTATATGTGCTTTCTTGAGCAGGGGGACCTTGCGGGCGCTGCAGGATTTCAGTCCTGTGGTAGTGTGTTACCAATTGTTTTCTTGGTGACTATGGTCCCAGCTGCCTTGAGATCATTGACAAGATCCTCCCATGTAGTTCTGGGCTGATTCCTCACCGTTCTCATGATCATTGCAACTCCACGAGGTGAGATCTTGCATGGAGCCCCAGGCCGAGGGAGATTGACAGTTTTTTTGTGTTTCTTCCATTTGCGAATAATCGCACCAACTGTTGTCACCTTCTCACCAAGCTGCTTGGCAATGGTCTTGTAGCCCATTCCAGCCTTGTGTAAGTCTACAATCTTGTCCCTGACATCCTTAGAGAGCTCTTTGATCTTGGCCATGGTGGAGAGTTTGGAATCTGATTGATTGATTGCTTCTGTGGACAGGTGTCTTTTATACAGGTAACAAACTGAGATTAGGAGCACTCCCTTTAAGAGTGTGCTCCTAATCTCAGCTCGTTACCTGTATAAAAGACACCTGGGAGCCAGAAATCTTTCTGATTGAGAGGGGGTCAAATACTTATTTCCCTCATTAAAATGCAAATCAATTTGTAACATTTTTGCCATGCGTTTTTCTGGATTTTGTTGTTGTTATTCTGTCTCTCACTGTTCAAATAAACCTACCATTAAAATTATAGACTGATAATTTATTTGTCAGTGGGCAAACCGCTCTGAAACAAGATGGTTATTAAGGTATAATACTTTGTATGTCCTGCAGTCAAGGTGTTTGTCCACTGTGCTATGGGCATCAGCCGCCGTGGCATTCTGGCGTATCTGATGATATACGAGAGCATTTCTCTGGTGCGTGCCATAATGGCCGTCCATCTGAACAGATCCATCGGACCAAGCTTCCTGGACCAACTCATTCAACTGGACCTCCTCCTCAGAGAGCAGAGGACACACACGCGCACACACACGCGCACAAACACACACACACCATGCAGTTTCATTTAAAGGGGCAATCTTCGATTGGTACGTAATTTTTTTCTTTTTTAAAATTACTGATACAGTTGAAGTCGGAAGTTTACATACACCTTAGCCAAATACATTTCAACTCAGTTTTTCACAATTCCTGACATTTAATCAAATGGGTCTTCCAAATGGACAATGACTCCAAGCATACTTCCAAAGTTGTGGCAAAATGGCTTAAGGACAACAAAGTCAAGGTATTGGAGTGGCCATCACAAAGCCCTGACCTCAATCCTATAGAACATGTGTGGGCAGAACTGAAAAAGCGTGTGCGAGCAAGGAGGCCTAAAAACCTGACTCAGTTACACCAGCTCTATCAGGAGGAATGGGCCAAAATTCACCCAACTTATTTTGGGAAGCTTGTGGAAGGCTACCCGAAACGTTTGACCCAAGTTAAAGAATTTAAAGACAATGCTACCAAATACTAATTGAGTGAATGTAAACTTCTGACCACTGGGAATGTGATGAAAGAAATAAAAGCTTAAATAAATCATTCTCTCTACTATTATTCTGACATTTCACATTCTTAAAATAAAGTGGTGATCCTAACTGATTTTTACTAGGATTAAATGTCAGTAATTGTGAAAAACTGAGTTTAAATGTATTTGGCTAAGGTGTATGTAAACTTCCGACTTCAACTGTATACCCATTGATTCTTAAGGAAAATAACTAATAAATGCCTCATGAGCTTAGTTCAACTATTGCGCGCCATCAGAACCTAAAATATAAGCTTGTTTTACTCCCTTGATTCTAAACAAACACTGTATAGCCTCAGAACATGGTTAAAACTATAATTTTGACATCATGCATGGTCAATGGTTGCATTTATCAAACTCTCAATTGCAGATTTAGATTAGATTTATGATGGCGCCGGAGGAGATGGTTGCCGTTTTATGGCCCTCTAACCAATTGTGCTATTATGTGTGTTTTTTTGCGTTATTTGTAATTTATTCTGTACATAATGTTTCTGCCACCGTATCTTATGACCAAAAAGAGCTTCTGGATATCTGGACAGCGATTACTCACCTCGTATTGGACTAAGATTTTTCTTGAACGAGTCGGACGTGAAGGATATTCTACAGACACCCGACAAGGCCCAAATCCCTGTCATTCGCATAAAAAAGAGACAAAGATATTGTGGACGTAGGTCGGGGTGCCTTGTAAGGATCCGACGGCGAGCGAGTAAACTGCCTCTTCCATCAATCCTATTAGCCAACTTACAATCATTTGAAAACAAAATGGACGACCTAAGATCAAGGATATCTTACCAACGGGACATTAAAAACGGTAATATCTAATGTTTCACGAGTCGTGGCTGAACGACGACATGAATAACATACAGCTGGCGGGATATACGCTACATCGGCAGGATAGAACAGATGACTCCGTTAAGACAAGGGGTGGCGGTCAGTGTATATTTGTAAACAACAGCTGGTGCATAAAATCTAAAACTAAGGTCTCAAGGTTTTGCTCGCCTGAGGTAGAGTATCTCATGATAAGCTCTAGACCACACCATTTACCATGAGAGTTTTCATCTATATTTTTCGTAGCTGTCTATTTAACACCACAAACTGATGCTGGCACTAAGATCGCGCTCAATGAGCTGTATAAGGCCATAAGCAAACAGGAAAATGTTTATCCAGATGCAGCGTTCCTAGTGGCCGGGGACTTTAATGCAGGGAAACGTTCTACCTAATTTCTACCAGCATGTTAAATGTGCAACCAGAGGAAAAAAAACTCTAGACCACCTCTACTCCACACACAGAGACGCGTACAAAGCTCTCCCTCGCCCTCCATTTTGCAAATCTGACCATAATTATATCCTCCTGATTCCTGCATATAAGCAAAAACTAAAGCAGGAAGCTCCAGTGACTCGGTTAATAAGGAAGTGGTCAGATGAAGCAGATGCTAAGCTACAGGACTGTTTTGCTAGCACAGACTGGAATATGTTCCGGGATTCTTCCGATGGTATTGAGGAGTACACCACATCAGTCACTGGCTTCATCAATAAGTGCATTGATGACGTCAT